GCAGGAATGTTAAACCTGCATGAAATTACCCCAGTGTACATCTGTGCATCCTCAATTTTTCCAGTGTGATCTTGTACTTAGTATCATTTGTTGTGAAAACACTTGTGCTGCCATAAAGGTTGCACGAGTGGCATGTTTGTGCATATTGCACACTGAATTTTTATGAATGAATGAATACACATAAATGCTCATAATTCGAGAAAATGGATGGCAGCACACGATTGTGAAAGGGTTCATTAAGCACTGGGAACAAATGAGGAGGCAAACGGTTGGTGCCTTGGGGTGCCATTCGGGGCAAATATATTCCCGAGTCCTCTAGCAGAGTGTGTTGGAAACAGCCATCCAGCCCTTTCCTTGGAGACCGGTTCCTCCTCTCAGGAACCCTGCTACAGAACGGAGACCGCGCACAGCTTGAAGAATAAAATGCATGCCTTCTCTGTGCTCTGGGCACTGCTCATACATCAGACATCACACTCCCTAAATCCGGTCCCACAAGTGTGTGCATGTGAGTGTGGCATTTACCAACAAATGAACAGAAGGCAATAAGAGCTTGTCTCCTAGAAATAACATTTCCCAATCCCTTGGCAGGCAGGCTGCTGGGAAGCTTTTCAGGGGCTAACACTTGCGTGCTCCCCCCCTCCTCGGGAAGGAGCCTTACATTAATAACCCTCTCAGGGCTAAGTCCGCTTTGTGTGTGTAAGTCCACTCGGCGCCATATGGCAGTTTCCAATTCCTTTAGCAACTCAAGTCTGGCTATGCTGCCGCGGTGATTCATTCTTAAAGGAAGACCCCTTGGGGCAGCAATGCCCCCGCCACTTACCTAGCTCCCACAGACCCCGCTCAGCAGGCGGCACGGGCTCGGGCACCACAAAGGGCTGAGGGATTCCCCGCTCCCTCCGGGGCTCCTCTCCCTGCGACGATCCCCTTCGCCAATGATCTGTCGCTGGAAATCCCCCTCCCCTCCACAGGGAGGAGGGTCTCCCGGGCAGGCTGGAGCTCCTGGCGTGTTTTCCCCTCTCTTTACATCCCTGACTCTGGCTCACGATCTCTACAAGGAAGGCTCAAAGGAGAGGCGGCGGGAGGCAGCTAAGGCATCCTTAAAAAGAACAATAATCTTCACCGATCTTCACCCCTTTTCCCACGCGGGGCCCCCATCCCTCTGCGCTGCCGCCGCCCAGACCAGAGAGGGCTGCGAGAGAAGGAAAAATCTAGCGGGGCTGAGCTCGCCGCGCGGAGGGAGCCGGAAAGGCGAGCCGCGCCAGCCCGGAGTTGCCGCTCGCTCCCGCTGCCCGCGGGGCGGGGGGGGC